CTTGAACCCAGGAGGCGGAGGTTGCAGTGAGCTGAGATCACACCACTGCACGCCAGCCTGGGCAACAGAGCGAGACCCTGTCTCAAAAAAAAAAAAAAAAAAAAGACCTTTGTACACCGTGGAATGTTCTACTTATTATTTCGTGTTACAATATGTGCTGTTTCTTCTGTTTGAATTGCAGATTATCTACTATGAAGCAGGGATTATTCTATGCTCTGTCCTGGGACTGCTGTTTATTATTCTGATGCCTCTGGTGGGGTATTTCTTTTGTATGTGTCGTTGCTGTAACAAATGTGGTGGAGAAATGCACCAGCGACAGAAGGAAAACGGACTCTTCCTGAGGAAGTGCTTTGCAATCTCCCTCTTGGTGATTTGTATAATAATAAGGCAAGTAGAATCTTGGACAACAACTGATTGTGTTTTAGGCTGATGAAGAGTGTCTCATATTTTAATGGTTAAACCATGAGTTTAAAACTAAACAAGATAGCAACAATGGAAAAAAATCCCACAAAACAGAAAAAGGAGAGCACAAGTGCTTGTCTAGAGTGATTCGAAAGGATCTCATTAGCACCAGACATTAGCGTTGTAATGAAGCTGCCCCAACTGAGCTGATGAGCCAGCGTTTTGGTATTTTTTTCCTTTTGAAGGTATCCTGAGAAATCTTGGACTGCAGAAAGGATTTACTTTCCAGCACAGCAGACTCCTCTTAATTAGCTCTTTGCAGACAGGCAGCATGTAGAAAGGAGAGATGGATCTGCAAGTTGATTTGCTAGTTGAGTCCAAAGGAATCGTGATGGACAGATGCAGTCCCTGAATTTGGAAATTTGAGAATATTGTAGAATGCAATTGACTTTCTAATAATAAACCCATTTTTCTTATATGTGCTGTTCATCCGCTACCCTCTCTTGAAGTCTGGAACACACTTCATGATTTAGGGTGTTTCTGCTGCAGCTTCTCCTGCTTTCAAAAGTTTTTCAGTTGACTGGCAGATCAGAAATACATTGCTTTTAAGATGACGTTTTTTCGAGTCCAAATTAGACTGCTCATCTGAAGAATGTGCACCACAACACATTCTTGGTTATTGTTCCGCATTTCCTCATTCATTCCACCACTGTTTCATGAAGCAACAAGAATAAATGTGCCTATGACGTGAAGGCACAGCAAGGGTTGGCCAACAGCCTTCTCTTTGTCATTTCTCCAAACACCACATGTGCTCAGTAGCCGTAAGATTTTTTTCAAGTTTTACTAAGGAAGTATTATTCAGGAATTTTAGCTGAAAACAGTCAGTCCTATGAGTTGGAGTTCCAGCTGCAAACCCAAGAAGGAAAGTCTTTAAGTGCGGCCACCAGCAGGGGTCTGATAAGATGTGTGGCTTAGGGTGGCCACTCATTGAAATGCAGTGTACTCATTGGAGAGGACTGGGCAGCTCCGGATTTGTTGATACCGAACAGTCACCATGACAGATGAAGTGAAAAAAACAGGTTGCAGACCATGTGTAGAACATGGTAACTCTGTTAAAAAAAAGAAAAGAAAAAAAAAGATGAGGAAGGAGACACAAGCACTTGGTCATATTTGTACAGAGTGGATGGGATGTGAAAGGGTTGAAAAGCAACTGGCAACAGTGGTTGCCTCTGGGAAGGAAATTGAGGGTTGTGGAGGGGAAGGAAGGAAAGTCATTTCTTGCTGTAGCTGAGTTTTTGTCTCTTTTGATTATGTACCAGGCTCAGGTATTACCTATTGAATTAACTTAACTAAAACTTGAACAATGACAAAAAAAATATTCACAACAGACAAAGGCCAATGCATTACCACTTACTCCAGGGCAATGATTATTTAAGCAAAGACATACTTTTGCTGATAATAGTGGAATAATCGACCGACCTTAACTATATATGTGTGTGTAAACAGGATCCAAGTGAATGTGTTAGCTGACTTCATGCACTGTTGGTTAGCCTGAGAGTTACTTGTTTTTTCTCCATGACGTTGGGGTGTGGGCATCTCTGTCTGTCAATCTCTTTCTCTCTCTCTCTCTCTCTCTCTCTCTCTTTCTTTTCTTCTCTTTTCTATTTTCTGTCTCTCCTTGCCTCTCTGTATTTTTCTGTCACTGTCTGTCTCCTTCTCTGTGTCTCCAAAAATCATTTGATCCTTACTGTTTTTTTCATATTTGATCTTGAGAGGCAGTTTGGGATCAGGTCAGTAGCGATCATTGCAAATGTGCCTGTCTGTCTCTCCTTTATATTTGATATACTCTAAGGAATGCACAGACTCCTAGTTGTTGGGGTAGTTACCTCCTTTTCAGCTACCAGAAGAATCTCAGTTACAGCCCTGAAACCTGTCAAACCCACCAGGGATCCCTGTGTGTTTCCCGTAAGCCTGAAACTTACATGCTGCATTTGTCTGGACACTTGCACAGCGATGTTTACCCACTCCATACACCCTGGACCTCAAAGATGAGATTCAGATGTGAAAGCGTCATCTGAAAATATTGCCCTTCGGGCTTCTTGTTAGAGTGATTACTTACTTAATAAGTTAATAATTTTCACTTGATGTCAATACATAGCCATAATTTCAGGGAAATTCTTGATTGAATGTAGTTATTTATTTACCTGAATTAAATGTTTACATGTGTAATAATGGGTTTCCAATATTTTGAGTTTCTTTCCTTTTTTGAGACAGAGTCTCGCTGCGTCATCCAAGCTGGAGTGCAGTGGCTCTATCACGGCTCACTCCAACCTCTGCCTCCTGGGTTCAAGTGATTCTTGTGCCTCAGCCTTCTGAGTAGCCAGGATTTTACAAGCATGCACCACCAGGCCTGGCAAATTTTTGTATTTTCAGTAGAGATGGGGTTTCACCATGTTGGCCAGGCTGGTCTCAAACTCCTGGCCTCAAGTGATCTGCCTGCCTAGACCTCCCAAAGTGCTAAGATTACAGGCGTGAGCCACCGCGCCTAGCCACTACATTGGGTTTCTTTTTTAAAATTGAACTTTCATTTGCATTACATATAATTATGTGTTATGCATGTTATAGTTCACTCTCAGCTGACTTAGTTATTTACATTATGTTGAAAATGCCAAAATATATCAACAGTAAAGCTACAAAGTAAAAAATAAACTTGGCTTCCATTTATGTATAAAATGAAAGCTACCATTTTGTTAATTCTTCAGAATTCAGACCTATCAAATCAATATATGTTTTTTCTAAGTATATTTTAATTTAGAAAATTCTTTTAAAAAAATGCATGCTGTGATTCTATACCCTCCTACACACTCAGTTAAAACCATTTTTTCCCACCCAAGTAAAACATTAATGTGAAAATTGTAATTTCAGATTTCAATATAATTAAACCAAAATTGATCAACTGTTTGAGATTGTGACAAAACTAAAACTAATTTGATTTCACGTAGCACATTGAATTTATATATAAATTATAAATAGGCTTAAATGAGAGTAGTATGTGAATTTTTTTTCTCACTTTAAATTCTGATGAGAATTTAAGCTTCTTTGCCTTGAACTTTTTGATTTACGGTAACTATTTTGATGGCTTCCTTTTGAAACCCCCACTGGTTTGCAAATACCTTAAACATGAGTTGCATAATACCTACATATTGTTTGCAAGTAATCCAAGCTAGCCAGGAGGATTAAAGACCTGGGGAAAATTAAGATTTCTACATTATGAGCAGCTAGACAGGAGAAGAAAGAATGTCAACAAAATCAGAAGATTAGATAAAAATAAGAAGGAAAAGAATGTCAACAAAATTGGAAGGCAGAAAGGGAAAGAAAGTTCAATTGTGTACCCTAGAACTTAAAGTATAATTAAAAAAAAGGGGGGGGGAAGAAAGGAAGTGGAGGAAAAGATAGGAGAGTGGACTCTCTCTTGTTTAATGCAGGGCCTCTAGCTGACATTGACTTCAGTGGAGATTGGACACTACTGAGAAATAATCTTTGCATATGATTTTAAAAAAATTCTTTCAGAAACCCAGAGCAGTCCACCTGCCTTTTATTGGACTCTGTCATTTTTGTGGCTCAAAATGTTACAATTAAACGCAGTTGGTTTTCAAGTTAGTTTTGAGCATCCTTTTTTATTTTAAAAAATGTATATCTTTTCTTTAGGGGGTGAAGGGAAGACATAGGTGTTAAGGAGAAAGATTCCCTAGCAGATGTGCAATCTACGTGGGCATGTTCTTTCTCTGAGCGTTCCCAGAGGCAGCTGTGGAATGTGAGAATTCCGTAGACACTGACATATGTTTATGCAGTCTGTTTGACCATCAGCACAAGATCGAATTTCCACCTCTCACTGTAGACTGTTAAGCAGATGTGTCTTACTCCAGAAAGAGCCAAGTTTCTTCTCCTTTCTGTCTCTTTGCTTGTCACCACTGCATTTCTCATAAAGGTTATGGAAGAAAAAAAACAACCATGGCTTGACTTCCTCTGTATGTTTTTAAGTTTCTGAGTATGAAAAGCCAACTTTGCTAAGAATTCCCATGGTGAATTGAATTCCAGTCATTTTCAGGAAGCTGGCTGTTTTCAAAGTTCATTTTATACTGGGATGTGATTGCCAATTCCTGACTGGGAGGCTACAAGGTTGTAGAAAAGAGATTGAGCTAGATATAGCAGTCCTGAAAATCGTGAAACTTTCTTCATGTGAATGACCTGTGGTTACTTACAGTTTAAATGTAATTTTTTTTTTTTTAAATAAGAGATCAGTTGTAGACTGAAAGCATTTATTTGGCTTTCTTTGGCTAATTTTTATTAAATCAGTAGAAATTGGTAGGAACAATAAAGTTACAAGTTTCAAAGTAAAGGTTTAAAAGTAAGGTTTAGCCTTACTCTATAAAAAGCTTATTTACTTGTAAGTATATATGTGAGAAAATTAGTTTTTCCATAATAAAATATAGAAGATGTAAGGCTATAAAAATAAAAATTCCTATCTTCTGCTAAAAATTCCAAGAGATTTTATTGTACTGCTTAAAAGCATATGTTTTTGGTTGTTTAAAGGCATTTATGTCAAATGCCAGAGAACTGATATTCACTGAAATATTATTTCCTTTTTGTGTTAGGTAAATGTCTCTTAGTATCCTTATATTCTAATAATCGACTGCTGATTGTTCAAATAAAAATATTTATTCACATACCTTTTTTTGCTCAAAAAATACATTGAACAACAGGGAATGTCTAAATCAATACCTCAAAGCATAATTTCTTTATTCTCTATTTGTGTTTGAACAGAAGGTTTAAATTTGAGATTGCAAATGGAGACCATCAGTTGGTCTGCATAGTATTTAAAATTTTTTTTGTTAGTTGCTAATATTTAAAAATTGGGAGATCTCACATCAGAATCCAGATTCCCAGATTTTTGTGGAAAATGGGAAGATATGGTAATATTTATCTGCCATCATGGTGGTGCTTTTGACACCTACAGATTAGCTGCTCTTCCAGCCCATTTTTGATCTCCCAGCTTCCAGGACCCCATGCTACCCAATTTTTCCTTAATGCTTTCTGCCTGCTTACATAGGCATTAGAACTTAAATACAAAATTTACTTTGTGCATTAGTTTGAAAATCAGCCTTGAAAATCACTAACTTCTACTCTATAATTATGCTTAGTACAGTTTTTTTTTTTTCTTTTTCTCTTTATTAATGGGGTCTTGCTATATTGCCCATGCTGGACTTGGAACTCCTGGGCTCAAGTGATTATCCCATCTCAGTGTCCCAAGTAGCTAGGGCTACAGGCATGTGCCACCACACCCAGCTTAGTACGGCTTTTTACAAAAATTCTCAGTGCTTTAATTTTAATTAGATCTATTATTGATTAGTAGAAATGCAGGTCTAAAATACGTAGCATTGAAATCCAGTGTTGTATTGAAATGTTGTATTGCAATTCGTTTCATTGACTGATGATCTTGTGAGTAAGGACATTTATTCAATAAAGGCACAAAGACAGTTTCTGACTCACACTTCAGACATATGGCCAGTCTTCTAAATAGACCAAATGAAACCAAAGTTCGACCCCTAAACTCACCTTCATGGAGCACCCAGTGTGGACAAGACTGCATTATACAAAGTTAACAAAGAATTAGTTTCCACCTCTTTTTAGGAAAATTAAACATAGATAAGAATAAAGACAAATTAGAGTGTGAAGTGAGACATACCCCATCAGAATTAAAGGGAGAGCCTCTGGGAGTTCAAGGAGGTTCTTCTCCCTTCTGGGGATGAGTGGAGGGGTCAGTGTGGGTCAAGCGAAAGTGGACTTGGACTGGTTCTTTTTACCAAGTTCACTTTGACTTCTTATATCTGGAATCTGATGAGTGAATGAAATAATTTGGACATGCTGGGAAGAGAGAGCAAGGATCCCCATTGTGAACCTCAGGTATGTTCAGATGGTGATCCTGACTCGTCATGGTCTAGAATGTTGTGAATTTGGCATGGTAGCAAGCTCCAGGTGCATTGCTGTGACTCAGCTTTTGTGTGTGTGTGTGTGTGTGTGTGTGTGTGTTTCTTCTTCACAAAACTCCAAAATCATTATTTTGAGTCATTTGACCTCTTTTGGCATGAGTGCCTGAGTTAATGACTCTTATTGCTATGGTGCGTCGGCTCCTAAAATACCAATGCAAATTTAGGACAAATTATAAGGCAGTCATTCCAAATGGGACAGAATATTGTTAACATTTATTTTATAAGTTTACCATCGGAATTAAACCAAACTTAAAAATCTTAGAGAACGTGTACATCCAGTACTGCTCTCCTTTACAGCTTGAGAAGCACTTATCTAATCTGAGTTAGATTGGATCGAATTTATCTAATTACACCTAAAGATCTAAACTGACCTTTTCAGTTTGGAGGTACCAACTGAAGTCCACAGAAAGAAAGTTATTTTCTCTGGCTTGTACAGTACGGTGGTGGCAGGACAGGACCCAGAACCCAAATCTGGTGTCCCTAATCTAGTACTCACTACACTGCAACTTGTTAACCATAAGAAACATTCCTCAACGTTGTATTATATAGACTTTTTTGGAGCACTGTGGGAAACCTAATGGACATATGTTATACTGCTATGGAAAAGTATGTTTCTTTGTTGTTTTTTTTTTGAGACGGAGTCTCGCTCTGCCGCCCGGGCTGGAGTGCAGTGACCGGATCTCAGCTCACTGCAAGCTCCGCCTCCCGGGTTCCCGCCATTCTCCTGCCTCAGCCTCCCGAGTAGCTGGGACTACAGGCGCCCGCCACCTCGCCCGGCTAGTTTTTCGTATTTTCAGTAGAGACGGGGTTTCACCGTGTTTGCCAGGATGGTCTCGATCTCCTGACCTCGTGATCCGCCCGTCTCGGCCTCCCAAAGTGCTGGGATTACAGGCTTGAGCCACCGCGCCCGGCCGGAAAAGTATGTTTTGAAACCAGTAATGAAACAATGCTCCTTGGAATGTATTTATGCTATAAGTGGGGTGAATAACTGTCCCCATTTACCCAGGATGGAGAAGTTTCCTGGGGACATGGGATTTTAGGTGCCAAAAATGAGATGTTTAGTCATCCTACCCGTAATTATACGCGCAAATAAAGCCTCAAGACATTGCTTTTGCTGAAGAGGCAATGTATCGATTCTCTCCATCTGATATGTTTTTCAAGTTTGCCTATTATTTGCAAAACTTACTTCTGAAACCATGTCTACATCTTCCATTGGATGATTACAAACTAACAAGTTTGTTACTTGCTTCTGCAGGTAAAATAATTCACCTATGTTTATGTAATTCCTTACTGCCATCTAGCGGCCAGATTCAACAGAACCTTGGCAATTAGCACCTTTTATTTAACTATTTATTCAAAGGCTTTGCCACAAAAACAGGCCAATTGGTCAAATTATTTTAAGTCAAAGGATTATTAGTAACTAGTCAACAGTAAGAGCCCTTAAAAATTATTACATTAGACATTTTAGATGGCTTGAAAAAAGACGTTTTGGTTTTTTTCACATAGAGAAGACTTTCCTGCAAGATGCCTTTCATAGGGCGTTTTTGAAGCTTTTTTTGAAGTATATTTCACATGGAGGAAAGTGTCCTTTTCACAAGTACATATGCATAAGTGTCCATGAAGTGAATCCACCCATGAACAGGGTACTCTGCCATTCCACCCCTGCTCTAGGCATAACCACTGACTTCTAGCACCACTGTTTCACTTGTTTTGCATTTTCCGTAGATGAAATAATACATAGGTGCTCCATTGCATGCGGTTTCTCACATAGCATTTTAATGCTAAGGTAACTCATGTTTCTTTCCAACCTGGACAATACAGACACTAACAGACAATTAGAGAAACCAAAAACCTTAGAAGCTCCAAGTACTCTTGTCATTTTGATGTTTTTTTCTATAGTCTTTTTTGGGGGGTCAGGGAGCAGAAGTGTGTGTGTGTGTGTGTTCACATGCATGCATATGTTCACACAGGAGGGTGTGTACACACATTCACATGAGGACAGGAATGGGACTGGATCATGCACGCTGCCTTATAACCTTTTTCCACCTATTTCCTCCACAATTTGTTGTGAACATTGTTCCATTGATGAGAGTCATTTTGAACAGAATGGAGATTTGCCTCCTCTGAGAGAACTGAGTCCTGTTTTGTAGCCCCTACGTGTGTGGTGGTTTGACTGTGGGATGGCGGTGGGAAGGCTCTGGCAGGAGAGGGCAGCTGGAGAGGAAAGGCCAGTCCTTCTGCGGGCTCCTCCCTGACTCCTGCTCTGCTGCCTGGACCTGGACAAAGAACCATGGACCATGCAGTAAATGCTCTTCCTTTTCTCTGCCTTTTCCTGCAGCATTGGCATCTTCTGTGGTTTTGTGGCAAATCACCAGGTACGAACCCGGATCAAAAGGAGTCGGAAACTGGCAGACAGCAATTTCAAGGACTTGCGAACTCTCTTGAATGAAACTCCAGAGGTAAAGACTATGATCTCTATGTACTGCGATGCTTTGTATTTTTGGCTTTTTGGAGTTCCTGTGTATATTTGGAATCTCATTCGAAACTTCTAGAAACACAGTGAATCAGCGTAGACCGGTGTTGTCTATTAATGTCCTGGATGAATAAATAAAACCCCAGAAAGTGATTTTCAAAAGAGTACAAAAGCCGAATTTCAGAATTGGTATTTTAATTTTATTAATAGCTTAAATTACAGTATGTATTATAAAAGGACTTAACACTTCTAAGGCTCTTATGATTTTTTTTAAAAAGAAAAGTTTTGAGACCCTATTATCCTTTCTTTTTGGCTGTATAGTTAACTTTCCATCACTTGCACAAAGTTACTCTTGTAATGAAACCATCCAGCTTTATAAACATCCATTTACTGATGTCTGCATAGGTATGTCGAATTCCTTGGGAAGGACATGCACACATACTCACGGACACACAGATTGTCTTTAGAGAAGGCCAATAGGATGGTTGAAGGGTGGGGATGGGAGAGGAGGTTCCCTTTCTTCTGTACTCCAGAGGCATGTTGATGAATTACATCTTCAGAACATCGTTTTAAAAAGTGTCTGAGCAGGAAGCAGCCTAAATGTGTGGCGCTCATGGGTTCCAACTTGTCAGAGAGTAGAAAAGTCTCTAAGAGCTTGCTGGTTACCTCAAAATGCTCTGATTCAGGAAAATTTTTGTATATTAAATCTCTTTTTGTCCTTTTACTGCCTTTGGACCTTAGAAGGGAAGGTTTCACAGAATGTTCTTTTTCAGCAAATCAAATATATATTGGCCCAGTACAACACTACCAAGGACAAGGCGTTCTCAGATCTGAACAGTGAGTACAATTTAAAGTTGCTTCATATTTTTTTGGTTTCTTTGTTTTGACTCATCTCCCATAAAACACGGACTAAGAAATGACATACGTGAAAGTTGGGGGAAGACAGAAAGAGGATTCCCTAGCCTTATTGCCGATGTGTCATTTGTTACTCAGCGATTAGAATCTAGCCCTCATCGAAGGCATCTGTTTCATAGGCAGCATGAAGAATGTCACAGGCAAAATGAAGACTGTTTCTTCATTTTACACTTACTGGAAAGCTTTAGCATTCTTGTAGTCACAAGCGCTCATTCTCCGTTTCCTTCATGAGGGAAAGATTGTTATCCTACCAGGTGCCCTGCACAGACACAGCCGGCTCCTCAGAGAAGCCAGTGGCTTCAGAAATGGCTGGATGGAGAGGGCTCAGCCCTGCACGCCAAGGTTTAGCTTAGTGCTTCTCAACTGGGGGGTGATGTTTGGCATGTTTGGTGACATCTGGAGACCTTTTCGGTTGTCACAATGAGTAAATGTGGGGTGAAGCCAGGGATGCCTCTGAGCATCCCATAATGCTCACGACAGCCCCCACCAGAGTGCAGTCTGGGTGGGAACTCTGGTCTAGTCAAAGAGATTAGATACAGAGGGAGTTACACACAGGTCAAGATGATAACACCATGTTCCTGGTATAAGTAAATACCGGGTCTGTGAGTCGTAGTGATTAATTTTTCACTGGGGAACAGTTGGTGCGGAGACCCTGAAGAGAAATCTCCGTACACGAGTCCACCCCTAGACAGGGTCCAGGATGCAAATGGGTTTTGCAGCAGGAGAGGCTGAGGCAGTGTGGAGAGAATGAGGGTGGGGTGGAGAGATGAGCAGAGGCCACCCTCACCATCCCTGTGCTTATTTGCATGTAGGTATCAATTCAGTGCTAGGAGGCGGAATTCTTGACCGACTGAGGCCCAACATCATCCCTGTTCTTGATGAGATTAAGTCCATGGCAACAGGTAAGCAGCGGGCAAAAATGACCAAAGAAAGTTCCATCCAGGAGTCCCTGGGCTCGGCAGACTCGCTTACTCTTTTCTTGTTCCCTGAGAGCTGTGTTGGGGAGAGCCACCGTCCGTGGCCATGTAGACAGTTCAGGTCAAGACACTGTGTTGCAATAGCTTGGTTGTGCTCTTTATTAAAGCTTGTGCCAAAGGTGTTGCCATTTCAGATGATAGGGGCAGAATTTGTTAGAGTCCCACCACCTGTTTTTGTAAACACAGTTTTATTGGAACACAGCCATTTGCATTTGTTTAGATATCATCTGTGGCCGTTTTCATGCTCTGATGGCAGAGTTGAGTCATTGGAAGAGATATAGTATAACCCACAAAGCCTAAAATATTTACCATCTATCTGGCCGTTTATAGAAAAAGTTTGTTGACTCTGATACAGAAGATGAGGAACCTATAGACATTTAGGTCATCTGAGGGAAATTGATTCATTTTTCCTTCCTGAAAGTGAAACTTAGAAGCAAGGAATATACATATATATCTTAAGCCTCCATGGTCAATGATATAAGTGACAGATAAACTGCATGCTCTACTGTAATGAAAAAAGACCTCCCAGGCCCTTCCAAATGTTGAGAAAAATGTCCTTGCGAGGTACTTGTTGGAGACGACAATTACATCTAGGTAAAACACTCATTTTGCCAATATGAATTTTGCTTTCATGAGCTAGCATCCCTGAGAATGTAGTCCGTAAAGAAGATAATTGTGTAGAAATTGGAAAAGTATTCCCGTTCCTTTTGGCATGCCTTATAGTTCAACAACTGAGATGAATGTGTGGAAACAGGAGGACGTGCAGAACAGGCCAGGAGTTGTTAAGATGAGTCCTAACTAGTTGAAAGGCCTTTCCTTCCCTTTCTCCTTGACCCTGCAAAGGGTTCAGCCAACAACAACATTCTCAACATCGACAATAACATCACAAACAACATCCTCTGTTGTTGATGCCTTAGATTTCTCTAGACATCTCTTCTCTTCATCACCAAGCATTTTCTTTCCAGGCAAGGAAATGGAGACCCAGAGAAGGGATATGACCTCAGAGACCATTGCCTCCTGCCTTCCTGTCCTGGCTTTTTCCACATGGCTTCTCCATTCCTTCTTTCTTTCCTTCCACCCTCTCTCCCTTTTTTTCTTTCCCTCCTTCCCTTCTTCCCTCCTTCCTTCCTTTCTCCTTCCCTCCCTCCCCTACTCCTTTCTTCCTTGCACACCTGGCCACTGTCCATCATTCCAGTCTTACTTCCATTTTGGGACACTCATCTCTGATGTCCCTTCCTCTTCTCGTAAGAACATCAGTTCTGTTGGATTAGGGACCCATCCTTATGACCTTATTTAACCTTAGTTACCCACCTAAAGGTCACATCAGTAATTAGGGCTTCAACATATGAATCTGGGGGAGACATATTAGTCCATAGCAATTGGTTAGCTGCGAAGTGGTGGAGTTGGGATTCAGACCCTGTTCTAGCAAGAGCCTGTGTTACCTGGACCACCCTAGATGGGACTTAGTACCTTGAAGAGTATTAAGATGGAGGGTGCTGTGGCGACATCCACAAGGAGGCAACACGTGCACCTCTGGAGGGAGAATTGGAAATCTGGGATTCCAGTGCTCACATGGCCATAGATGATGCCAGGCATCCCTGCAGCCTGAATCCCTCGTGCATCAGTGCGTTCACAATATTGAATAAGATCTATTTGTTTTCCAAAAGCTTCAAAGTATTTTATGTCTATAACATATTAATTGGGTTGTAACTCTGGGAGTCATTCCAGGCCCACGAAGATCACATATAGTATGTGACTGCAATGTTGAAGAGATCACATATATTATGTTTGCAATATTGAAGAGATCCAAGGTCTCTTCCAGCCCCAAATTAAGTAATGGTGAAGGCTGGGCAAAAGTATATGAATGATGCACTGTGGTTGATGCGTTGGAGTAGTTGTTACTTTTTGCCCAATGTTCTTGCAATTTTTAGTAACTGAATTATAGTAGTTTTTAGGTAAAAGATGATTCAAAGATTCTCTTTTTCTCTTCAGTGCCTTGTGTGTTATTATTAAAGTTCTTTTTTTGTTTGTTTGTTTGTTTGCTAAAAATGCTTTGCAGCCCTATGTGTTTAGTGGGTTTTGGAGAGAATAGAAACATGCCATTGTTTTGGTGTACAAATCATATTTGGACTGCAGATCAGGACCTATAAAGGAAATATACTATGGGCTGGTAAAATGGTAATTCACTAAAATTGAGAACCTCAGATAGCTTTTCCACTTTCTTCAGATACATAATATATATGATGATGGTGGGCCTGGACTGACTCCCAGAGTTACAACCCAGTTAATAGTTTATAGACATAAAACACTTTGAAGCTTTTGGAAAACATGTATTTATCACTTCTGAGTCCTCCCTGTGACATGACAGAATATTATCCATAGCCTAGAATGGCTATGAACAGTGCTTAATACACATTTCCTGGGCCATGCTTTTATTTTGTCACCTGTCATTCTCCGTTGTTGTTGTTGTTGTTGGTGGTGGTGGTTCTTGCCTTAAGATAATTTATCTTGAAGTCAAAGTGAAAAGGACTGTGAGGAGTAAACCACGGAACATTAAAATGTGGAGTGTTTTAGCCTGCTCTTTTGTGTTCTTCTATGTATTTCTGGTGTATTTTGGTGTATTTCTGTGTATTTCTGGGGTACTACTGTGTATTTCGGGTTGCAGCTGAGTTCTTTTTTGTTTTGCTGTGGTTAATATTTATTGAGCTTCTACTATGAGCCAGATACCAGGCTTTATGCTTCACTGACAATACTGGATGATAGGTGGGAGAGATGAAAAACTGATACCCAGGGTGCTCTTTGATAGTCCTAAATATTATTATAATCTTAAATATTGTTAAGCTATGATTAGACTGAAATTCAAGAGAAAATACTATTTGAAGCAGAGTTTAAGATTTTCTATTCAGGTAAAGTGATAGAAATTTGAGACCAAGGAAGATACAGTTCAATTCTGGAAGCCTCCCCAGGTCTCTGGGTACTAGGTTGCAGTATCTAACCAGACCTAGTTAGCATGGGGGAGACCATCTCCTAAGAGGTCAGCCCCACAAGCTATTAGGGCACAGCCTGGAATCAGATTCTTCTAGTAACCAGGAGGTGACCCAACCCACTCCCTAATTTATAGATGAGACTGAGGTCCTGAGAAGTGAGAGTTTGCCAGATGTGCTGTAGCAGGATAGAAGCAGAACTGGAATGCAACCTCGGGTTACTTTTGGCTAGACTCAACATGAAAACATTTTTAAAATGTGTGTGTGTGTGTGTGTGTGTGTTTAACACTCAAGTATTATCTGTTATGTGGCTGCCAGGAAAGGATGTGGAAGCCAGTTTTTAAGGGCATTCATACTTTTCCTTGAAACACCCAATTGCAGCTTGATCCTCAACCATCTGTTCCGTGAGCCACAGAGCAAAGACCTGACCAAGAAGATTTATTTGCTTAGAAGAAGAGCAATGCCTTCTAATTTAAATTTCACATCTTGTACTGCTGTGGCTTTAAGCCACTATAGAAAAAAGTTGTAATTTCCTACCTTCCTAGTCATGTATAGGTAGCTCCACCATCCAGATAAATCATGATAGCAAACAATTATTCTGGATTTCCTAGTACAGATGCCCCTCCACATACACGATGGGGGTCACATCCCAATAAACCCATGGTGAAGAGAAAATATTGTAAGTTGAAAATGCTTTTAATACACTGTAGAATATGCATTGTTTGCCCTCTTGGTTGCATGGCTGACTGGCAGCTGTGGTTCGCTGCTGCAAGAGAGTATCCTACCACACATCACTAGCCTGGGAAAGTTCAAAATTCAAAATTCGAAGTATGATTTTAACTGAATGCATACAGCTTTCTACTATCACAAAATTGAGAAATCATAAATTGAACTATTGTGAGTTGGGTACTGTCTGTATAAGAATGTGTCTTAGGGGGTGGGGCTTCTGAAATTAAACAGATAGACCACTGCCTTTGAGGCATTTTCATCTGACTGATCTAACCCCCGTGTTGCATGATGAACGTGGTGGTGTTTCTGTACTTGAAGACGAGGAAATTGGCTCAGAGTGGTTCAGGAGTCTATTTTCAGTCGCACAGCACATAGCAAAGCTGAGATCCATGCCTAGACTGGCCTCAATCTAAAACCGTGCTCTTAACTACTGTGCTCGTTTTGATTCCAACTCTTAGAATAATTAGAGCTAAAATATGTCTGGATGTAATCCATTTTGATGTGCATTTAAACTGCTAGGATTGACTTGTTTGGACTGACCTCTTCGAGGCTGGGTGGTGACGACTCTGCTGACCACTGCTGGCCAGTTAATGCCGCATCGAGGTGTCCCCATCACGCTCCTGGGTTGGTGCTTGCCCCCCTGCTTCTTGTTGGAAAGAGACCCTAAGCGGGAGAGCAGAGCTGGTTGGAGCTGCTGTTAGAGCAGCCTAGCGATGCTCCTGTATTCCCCTCAGGCTGCCCCTTGCACTGTGTCCCTCTCACTGCCATCTAAAGTCATTTACCAGTCCATCCCACGTCCGTTTAGACACACTTTTGTAGATGAGGAAGGACTTGGCATGTCTGTTCTGAAGTGGGCTGTGTTTCTACAGCAATCAAAGAGACCAAAGAGGCATTGGAGACCATGAACAGCACCTTGAAGAGCTTGCACCAACAAAGTACACAGCTTAGCAGCAGTCTGACCAGCGTGAAAACTAGCCTGCGGGCATCTCTCAATGACCCTCTGTGCTCAGTGCGTCCATCAAGTGAAACCTGCAACAGCATCAGATTGTCTCTAAGCCAGCTGAATAGCAACCCTGAACTGAGGCAGGTGAGTGAGCAGGCATGAGTTTGCCATGGTCAAGGGCTGCATGCTGGGGACTGCCAGGCAGGGCTAAGCGAGGGTGACCTATCCAGTGCACGGTGGCCTGACTTGGAGAACGGTTAGCCCCTGGCCTCTGTCACCCTTCTTGAGTCATTTGATCGCCATATTGGAATGACCACAGCAGGAACAAAGGAGTAAAAGGGAACCGCTTTGTGGGAGTTCTCTGCCACTGAATGAACACATCAGAATTAATTCAGCTTTACAAGGAGAAAAGGAAACAATATATTCATGTAGACCTTTAAGAGTTAAAAAATATTTTAAATGATGTGCTTAGTCTATTAACTGCGTATGCTGAAATAGAAGAAAAATCTCCCATTTTCCCAAAGAAAAGATTTTTTAAGAAGAATTTGGAACAACTTGGATTATATAAAGTTCTGAGATGTAGGTAAAATGGCCACGTCTATTAATGATGTCTAACTTATTTGGTTAGATACACATCTCACTTTTTTTTTTTTTTTTTTTTGAGATGGAGTCTCACTGTGTTGCCCAGGCTGGAGTGCAGTGGCACCATCTCAGCTCACTGCAACTTCCAACCTCTCGGGTTCAGGTGATTCTCTTGCCTTGGCCTCCCGAGTAGCTGAGATTACAGGCACCTGCCACCACGCCGGGCTAATTTTCGTATTTTTAGTAGAGATGGGGTTACACTGTGTTGGCCAGGCTGGTCTCAAACTCCTGATCTCAAGTGATCTGTCTGCCTCAGCCTCCCAAAGTGCTGGGATTACAGGTATGAGCCACCATGCCAGGACACCTCACATTTTATATAAAATAACATTTTAGTATGGATATACTTTTTCTCACTCTTACATTTCATTCCATTGCTTTTCAAACATTTCACCTGCAACATCTGTGTCTGGATATCACTGTAATTGTTTTTGATTGAACAGTTTTTTAGAGCTTAGTTGCCTCTGAGTTGTTTGAGATAGATCCTTTTTAGGGGGCACTTTTTATTTTTAATGTTGTATCAAACGTGGAAAACTTGCAAGATGAATGCACGGATCCTTGTTCACACACCCTTTGTCCACATTCTTTAAGGGTCACCATTTTGCACCATTTGCTTTATCATATTTTATCAGTTTATCTGTCTGTTCATATCATTTAATATATACATTCATAAAATAATATGCATTTTTTTCTCAAAAGGTAAGTTGGGGATATGTTGTAGACATCATCATGCCTTTTTACCCCTAAATATTTTATTGTACTTCATAACTTTACATAATCATTATATAATGATCAAAATTAGGATAACATTGACCCGACACTACCATTTAATCCACAGTGTCCATTCAAATGTTGATCTTTCCAAAAATGCATTTTATAACTATCTTCTTTTTTCCAGTCCCGGGTCCAGGCCAGGATTACACATTGTCATTTATTGTCATGTGTCTTTAATTCCTGTTGATCTGGAACAGTTTCTAAGTGTGTCTTTTCTTTTGTGACACAGACATTTTTGAACAGGCCATTTACTTTGTAGAATGGTCTTCAGTTTAGGGTTGTTTGATGTTTTCTTGGGATTAAAGTTACTCATATTTGCCAGGGAAATATCACAGTAGTGATATTATGTTCTTGGACATCATGTGAGAGGCGTATGATGTTTGTCGCAGTGTTGGTAAGAGCCAGAGTACTTCAAATCCATGTATAATGCTGTAAGTGGAAAAACTATTCCAGATTACTCACTAATATAACCACTGACTACATTGCTTTTAAACATGACTTTAAAAAGGTTGTTTACAATTTTATTGAACAATGTTTAGTATTTGAAATTGTGAAGTCATGTATATTACATTTGTGTTAAATTTCTTTGCCTTATTTTTTTAGCTGATTATAGCAAGAGACCTCCAGACATCAAAAAAATTAGTGCTTGTCAAGGAGGGTCTGAGCTGTGTTTTTCCCAAATAAAACTCTAATGTTCAAAAGAAACTGAGATTGTACCCTATAGTATAGACGCTTTGGGACTTGGATATACAATGACTTCTTTCTTCATGAGGAGTCGTTTTGAAGGTAACAACCTCGTCTTATATTTCGTTTTATAAATTTTCAGCTTCCACCTGTGGATGCAGAACTTGACAAAGTTAATAACGTTCTTAGGACAGATTTGGATGGCCTGGTCCAACAGGTATGTTTTTTGGAAAAAATACAATCACTGATTTTATATAATTTTAAAGGGTGGACTAGTACGTAAGAAAGTGGGAAACAGCAAAACAGTGAAATTCCAGAGAAGGGTTACCAAGAAGGGTGATAGCTATTACCTTCCAGGCAATCGTGTTCACCATTCCAGCTCCCAGGACTTTTGTTAAGCACCTGTGATGTGTGAAGTGGCATGCTAAGACCATGAGAGATCAAGAAGAACATGACCTCTGCTTTCCTAGGCCTCAGAATTTAGTGGGTGTAATGCTGAACCCCACACTGATTCTAATACAGAATGCTGTCCCCCTGTGCCAGTGAGTCAGCTATACTGGTTTTCCTTTTGTTCTTTCCCACCTTCATGCATTTGCACACGCTCTTCCCTCTGCTTGGCACTCTCTTCTTTTCCTCCCTCCTAGTAGCCTTGCTACTTAGTTATTTTATCTATCTATCTATCTATCTATCTATCTATCTATCTATCTATCTATCTATCTATCTATTTATTTATTTTTTGAGATGGAATCCCCCTCTGTCGCCCAGGATGGAGTACAGTGGTGCGATCTGGGCTCACCGCAACCTGTGCCTCCCAGGTTCAAGCGATTCTCCTGCCTCAACCTCTTGAGTAGCTGGGATTACAGCTCTGTGCCACCATGCCTGCCTGAGTTTTGTATTTTTAGTAGAGACGAGGTTTCACCATGTTGGACAGGTTGGCCTCGAACTCCTGACCTCAAGTGATCTGCCCCCCTTAGCCTTCCAAAGTGCTGGGATTACAGGCATGAGTCACCGCACCCGGCCACTACTTAGTTTTTTAAGCTTCATATATCACCTTCTTTTTTTCTTTTGACATGGAGTCTTGTGCTGTTGCCCAGGTTGGAGTGCAGTGGCATGATCTCAGCTCACTGCAACCTCTGCCTCCCAGGTTCAAGCAATTCTCATGCCTCAGCATCCCAAGTAGCTGAGATTACAGGCATGTGCCACCCCACCCAGCTAATTTTTGTATTTTTAGTAGAGACGGGGTTTCGCCATGTTGGCCAGGCTGGTCTTGAACTCCTGACCTCAGGTGATCTACCCACCTCGGCTTCCCAAAGTGCTGGGATTACAGGCATGAGCCATCACGCCCAGTCCATATATTACCTTCTTAACAGGCCTTTCCTGGGCTTCTTGACTAGGTCAAACCCTTTTTAATACATTCTTGCAGCATTGCAAATATTCTCTGTTAATTTCCTCATAACTGTAATTATTTCTTTAATGTCTCCCTTCCCACCACTGGACTGTAAACCCCCAAAAAGGCAGGGACAGCATTGGTCTGGAATTCCCTGATTTCCCCAGTAGCTTACTAAATGTTGCTGTTTATTCAACCAATAGATACTGAATATGCAATACGTATTTCTTTTTAGATTATGGTTCAGTAGAGTGCCTGGGCCTATGGGAAAATGAGAGGATAGTTTTATTCTTGACTCTGTCGTTTAGCATGGATGTAAAAACATCTCAGATCTCTATTAACCCATTTATGCTTAGTGTTCCATTATTGGAACGCTAAGCTCGTGGGAGTTATTTATATCCTACTGCCAAATGTCATCACCAGGTTCTGATTTTTCACAAAAAATATTTGCAACCTTCAGTATAAGTGGGTTAAACACTTGTCTACATATGTTTACTAGACACTTACTGACAAAGTAAGTGCCCTTAAACAAGTTATTCAAAATTTCTTGGTCTTTGCACTCTGGTGTTACTTCATTTGTTAAAGAAGGCATTGAACCGGGAGATCTGTAAGACACTTTCCAGCTGTGAAATCCCCCATGGCATCTGCAAGTCCAGACACAGATGAATGTCAAAGAGTCAGGCACACAGAAACCAACACAAGCACTGGCGTGCTCACTAGCTTAGTCTCCTTGGAGGAAACAGAAGCCATGATGTTCATTTTGTAAGTCATGATGTACATTCATTCTGATGTAGCTAGGCTAAGGTGGAAACTGGCTGGCACCATAAATCTTATGAAGGTTGAAAGTGCTGTACTTTTCCCTGGCAGACAGCTAAGTACACCAGCAGACGGTGAAGAAACACTCACCAAACCCCTTCCAGAGGAAAGGCTGGACGTTTAGTTGAATTATTTGGAAATAATGATATTTCCCTGTCATGGGGGTTTAGCCCCAAAGCCCTATCACTTGGCATGGTTGTTTTTTCTTTTTGTTCTATCCTCACCACAGTTGTATCCTCTGTAAGCTATGCTTTGGGATATATATATATATATATATAATTTTTTTTTTCAGTTACACTATATCTCTAATTTTATTTTTAATTAGAAAGTAAGATTCTGTTTTTAGAAATTCACCTTCTGTCTGCACATGGGATATTGTACTGATCAGGGTCTCTTAACCTCAGCACTGCTGACACCGTGCATGGCTTTTAGCAGTGGGGGCTCTCCTGTGCATGGTAGGGTATTTATTAGCATCCTTGGCCTCTCCCCCCACAATCCCAGCAGCACCCCACAACTGTGATAACCAAAATGTCTCCAGACTTTGCCAAACATACCCCAGTTGAGAACAAAATTCTCCCAGCTGAGAACCACTGGGAGTATATATGTATACTATATATATATGTATGTATAGATATATGTGCCCATAATAGTACCTAGGCTCTGTGTAAATACGTTGATTTTAAAATTATGGGGACCCCCATATGAAAAATTTCTAACATAATCTTTGATTGATATAATTTAAAGACGATGCTCTTTAAAGGGGATTTTTTTAGACTCTTGATGACCATACAATGATCATTTCACCTTAAGATGAATGTTATATTTTTATTTTGCCTCTCTACTCGTACTCAGTTGCAAAATGAGTGACTAGTCAACTAGTCTACAACTTACCGTGTACATCCATTTATTTTGAAATGTTTTTCAGGGCTATCAATCCCTTAATGACATACCTGACAGAGTGCAAAGCCAAACCAAGACCGTCATAGCAGGTGAGATTCACAGTTTGAGGTGATTTTGTGTCTCTCTGCTTGGAAGGTCAGTACAGAGAAACGTGTTGCCAAGTATTGCATTGTTCTTTTCCTTTAAAAAAAAAAAACAGTTTCTCATTAAAACCGTCAAAACGAAATGAGTATCAGAGCTTTACAACTGTGTCACTTCATTCGGTGACTTAAAAACAAGAACAAACCTGTTGTTGAACATTGATAAACATCATTCGGCCCAGCCGGCAGCTGCCACATGGTTGAGAGCCACAGTGTAATCCAGGTCCCTAGAGTGTGTGCCTTGAGACCTTACAGCAGCCACAGTTGGGAAACTCATCCTGATTTTCACTGAAGAGAAAAACTGAAGATTATTATATTTTCTAGACAAACTTAAAATCCAACTTTTAAAAGGAATACTGTATACAAGGATTTATTTTGTCGTTAGGAAGATTTTAATCTGTCCACTGACGCTGAGGCAATAGTATTTTAGGCTCCTAAGGTTGCTTACAATTTTGGAGAAACAGAATCAATGTGGAGAGGATTCTACTCAAATTACTGAATCATGCTGTATTTGGGTTATGGGATTTGGGGTGAACGTACAGAGGGAGAGAATGCAGTGGTAGCAGTTCTTTGTGCAATGATAGAGACAAAGCTGGGTTATTTGCTTGAAGAAGAAATCTCTGGGCTGGGTGCAGTGGCTCATGCCTGCAATCCCAGCACTTTGGGAGGCCAAGGCGGGTAGGTCACCTGAGGTCAGGAGTTTGAGACAAGCCTGGCCAACATGGTGAAACCCCATCTCTATTAAAAACACAAAAATTAGCCAGGCGTGGTGGTGCACCCCTGTAACTTCAGCTACTCGGGGGGCTGAGGCAGGAGAATCACTTGAACCCAGGAGGTGGAGGTAGCAAGTGAGCCAAGATCTAGCCACTGTACTCCAGCCTGCGCGACTCTCTCTCAAAAACAAACAAACAAAAAAAGAAAAGAAAAGAAACCTCTGAAGCTATGTAAAGCTATCTTCTATTTCTTTGAAAAATCAATTTGGTGCTGCTTTTATCTGTTGAGTAAGTGGTTTTAAAATGTTATGTTAGAGATACCTGATTATTTTTCCCTAATAATGTTTTTTTGACCTGTGAAGAGTTTGAGTAAAAAAGTGTTTTATCTTGCTACATAACACTTTAGATGTTTTGTGGGTTTCCTTTTGTATAGTATAAGATTCTACTTTAAAATATTAAGATATTAAGGACAGGGTTCAGACTTTCGTGTGCTAACCTCTGAAGGCTGATGCATGCTCTACGTCTGACAGTCACCTGCTCACTAATCTCTGTGTTTAATTTTTTGGTTTCCCCTCTCTGGACCTCTCCTGCCCATACGTGCAGCCCTTCCTTGTAAGTCTGACACAGCGAAGTGTGCTGCGTGTGTTGAGTGTGGCCCATGGCGCATGGTGCCATTGCCTGAGCACGAGCCAGCGTTTTCCTAGAGCCGGGTCAGTGCCGCTCTGTCAGCCTGGGTAGCAGGTGTTTAGTTTCATGTCCTTAGCTCTCATCCCAACCTGAACAGATTATTTAGTGCCAACTCTGTGCCAGGCTTTGCCAGGCACTGGGCTGTGAGATGCATAAGCCATGAGTTCTTCTTGTCCTTTAGTCAGCCATGTGTACACAAACTTGTTGTCACACTCTGGCATCATGACCAGGTTGGTGCCAGGGAAACAAGTTGAGGAGAGGCTAGTGGGAGGCTGCCTGGAAAAGGGGACATCGAGAGAGGTTTGAAGAGGGTATATGATAAGAGAGGGCACCAGTCACGTAGAGAGTCGCCAGAGCAGCAAAGTCACGGAGCCGTGTCCTGTGTGAGGGCAAGCCAGGCTGAGAAGCAGGCACAGGCCGTAGGAGCTGCTCCTAGAAGACGGGAAGGCTGCCTTCCCCATCTCTCAAAATCCCAAAAGTAACCAAGAGACCCACTGAGTCATTTTTGGCCAAGGATCCTCAGGTGTTTTCACACACGAGCAATGAGCCCCAAGGAGTAACAGTCCTTTCTTAACGAGTCACATCCAAACACCTGACACTCTGTTGCTTGCTTCTGTGTCTTTGATTTCTAGATGTCATAGCTATGTGAAAAACAAACTTTAAAAAAGTTTCCAGGGCCGGGTGTGGTGGCTCACTGCTATAATCCCAGCACTTTGGGAGGCTGAGGCAGGAGGATAACTTGAGGCCAGGAGCTCAAGACCAGCCTGGGCAACATGGTGAGATTCCATCTCCCCATCTCTACAAAAAGTAAAATCATAAAAAATTAGCTGAGCATGGTGGTACACACCTGTAGTCCCAGCTATTTGGGAGGCTGAGGTGGGAGGATCCTTGAGCCCAGGAGGTTGAGGCTGCATCGAGCCATGATCATGCCACTGCACTCCAGCCTGGGCAATACAGAGAGATCCTGTCTCAAAAAGAAAACAAAAGTTTCCTGCCATTTTTATGTGATTACATTTTGAACCAAGCTACCATCTCTATTCTCTACCTAAAGTTCACCGGGAGCCTCAGGATAATATTTTGAGAACTGCTAATCTTGTCTCTCCTGCTGCAAAGAGATTTACCTCTCTTGCAGGATCAGTGGACTTTTAACTGATTAGTGTGTTCTTAGTATGTCCATGTGAAGAATCACTTGGATACAGCCACCTTCAGAACTCATGTGAGCACTGGTTCAGGTGAAATCCTGCACCCCAGGTGAGTTCGATTTTAGGACCTGTGGTGATGGACACTCTCCAGAAAACTGGTTTTCTTTGAACTTAACTCCTGTCTGAGATATTAAGACTGATAGCAAAGGAAACTGGCCACTGAGACTACTATTGGTTTTTGAATAGAAAAGACACAGACGTACTTCCTAAGAAGTCTCAATTTGTATCAGTCAGCTAAAATTTTAACAAAAATATCACCCAGAGTCACTTGCGTTTTTTGTTTGTTTGCTTGGTTTTTAAATGGGGCCTTGAGAATTACTCCATTCCTGAAGGCTTTTCTTTTCTTTCTTTCTTTCTTTCTTTCTTTCTTCCTTTCTTCCTTTCTTCCTTTCTTCCTTTCTTCCTTTCTTCCTTTCTTCCTTTCTTTCTTTCTTTCTTTCTTTCTTTCTTTCTTTCTTTCTTTCTTTCTTCCTTTCTTCCTTTCTTCCTTTCTTCCTTTCTTCCTTTCTTCCTTTCTTCCTTTCTTCCTTTCTTCCTTTCTTCCTTCCTTTCTTCCTTTCTTCCTTCCTTTCTTTCCTTCCTTTCTTTCTTTCTTTCTTTCTTTCTTTCTTTCTTTCTTTCTTTCTTTCTTTCTTTCT